GAGTGAATCTTTCTAAAAGCAGAGTATGAATGTTTTAACTCAATAACTAGGAAAATGACATGAACATTATGTTGACCCCTTTGATGAGAGTATTTCAAAATGTATATGAAAACAGCACACTGTACCCCATGATTGCATTAATGTACAAAGTTATGCTATAAGAAATAAAAAAAAATAAAAAAATAAAGGGCATGTAATGAGGAGCAGAAAAAAAAAGTGGTAGAATGAGGAACGTGAGTGCAGATTGAGTGCTTGGTGCAGTGAATATACAGCGCACCTGAGGATTTCATCCGTTTTTATCAGAGACTTGACAGGGAGTTGAAGGGCCTTATTAAAAGTTCTGTTAAATGTGTAGGAATTATTCTATAGGGAAGTCATCTGGGACTTAGTATTTTCCTCAGTGTTTTGGATGAGACTGTTGATAGCATTTTTTATCAAGTTGATTTGAAACTAAGAAAAATTAGGTAAAAGAATATGGGTGAAAAAACAATCCTTTGAGTTGAGAGAGATCTGTTTAATAAAGGATAAGTGAAAATCTTGCACTCTAGTCCAAAGTACTAAAATCATAATTTCCAAATGAGAGAAATGTAGCCTACAATGGCACAGGTTGAAAAAAGCCACATAATAGTCCTGCCTCAGCAATAACTCAGAGTTAGTTTTATTAGTAAAAGTGTTATGCCCAAAGCACACAAGGGCATGTGGAACCCTGTTGTACTTTTCTGTGATTCATCCACACCTATAGCTAAGGTATGTGTCCTGTACTTGAAGAATGACCTTGATAAATTAGAACTTGTCCATAAAAAGGACCTGGATTGTGCGGGGACACAAAAATGACGTGTGAGAAGGGAATAACTAGAACTATGAATTTGAGAGAACTAATTTTTGATCTAGAATTAAAACAGCAACAAAATGTATACCATGGAATACTATTCTACTCCTAAAAAAGATGGAGACTTTACATCTTTTATATTAACTGATGGATGTGGAACACATTATTCTTAGTAAAGCATCACAAGAATGGAGAGGCAAGAATCATATGTACTCAATTCTGATATAAGGGCAATTAATGTCCTAGTACATGGTGGGGGGTGGGGAATGGGGAGACCTGAGAAAGGGAAGGCAGGGTAGGGGGACACAGGGTGTGGTACACCTTTTGGGGGCAGGATACAATTATAAGAGGGTCTTTATCAATCAATGCAACCTGGTTATGTATATCCTCAGTGAATCCCCGACAATAAAAAACAAACAAAAAACATCAACAAAAACTAATTATTTTAGTCGTTCCTGTGCCTGTGAGCTCTTTCTTGAGATACTAATTTCTCTCCTTGCAAGTCAGAGCTGCAGGGATACCATGGATGTAGTGGGAATTACTAGGTCAGATGGAAATTTAGGCAGGATGACTTCTCAGGTCTCTTACAGTCCTTAAATATATAGACAGTTTCATGATAATGTACCATACATAAAGACACTTGAATAAAAATACAAGAATTTTTTTTACACTTGACATTTGATACTGTAATTTTTATTTATTTATTTATTTTTGAGGCAAGCATGAAACATAGTTTATTGAGGAAGAGAAAGATAGGTTTACAGGGTGAGAGCAAGATACAGGCTTACAGAGCAAGATACCTTGACCTCAGACAGCCAACTGACCTCCAAGGCCAGGGCATGTAGGCAACTTCAGCACTTTCTAAACTAGTCTATAATAGTACCATACGGTGAATTTTGAGCACACAACAGTACTTGGAGACTGTTAGATGTAATTTGATTGAAAGTGATAATCTGTCACAAAGTTTGTCATTAAATATGAAATTTTTAAGAAATTTTAAAAATAGAGATGTTTCAAATTTATTAAAGATTTTTCTTTTCAAACAGTCCAAGATTGATCAAGGCAAGTCTTTTATACTTGAGGAACACATGGACAAAATAAACAGGTACTTAAAGAGATCTCAGTTATATTTATTCTTTGGAAAGACTATATTACCTTGAATTCCCTAACATTGTAATTACACTGGGTTGGATGATGTACTGAATCCTGAGATCAGCTAGTGTGGTGCTTTTTTTTTTTTCTTTTTTTTAACCTTTGAAAGTAGCTTCTTTCCTAGTTCTTTCCAGGAAAAATAAATTTATTATATTTAAGTAATCTATCATCTTAGTACAAGATAACATTTTTTACTTAATTGGGAAAGAGAGGCTAGAAAATAATAATTGAATTAACTTTTATCTTTGTAGAGTCATCTTCTAAGGTCTTATCAAGGCAATTAGGGAAAATGTTTTATGTAATGATTTGAGAGATTGACAAAGTAGCTTCAGGAAACAGAAAGAGGAAACTATTGGAAAATTAGACAACCATCTCTTCATTTTTAGAAGCATCAGTTTTTCTCAGTTGGAATATTTATTTACATACAAGTAGAGTAAATACAAAAAAGCAAAAGAAAAGAGAAAATTTAGGTTTTCTTTTGTATTAATGAAGGTAGACTGCACACACCTAGGCAAACAATGTTCTGTTTCATCATTCTGTAAAATATTTTAGAAAATTCTTCGTTATCGAAATGGGGGTGGGGGTAAGCCTAATTTCAGAGTCATCACTATGTTAGAAATAAGAAATTACTTGCACTTTGGTAAAATTATGTTTCCTTTTTTTATAGTTGTTTTTCAGCCAATACTGTGGAACAGATTATTGAAAACTTACAGCAAGATGGTTCCTCTTTTGCTCTAGAGCAGCTGAAGGTAATATTGGGATCCTTTCTTCCTGAGTGACCATGGTAAGGTGTTATAACTGGAAGCCTCTCATCATCTCCCTGTGGTGATGACACAGCCCACTGCATTGTTTTGTTTTTTTCAAATTTAGGTAGTTCCATTCAGAAAGTAGTTCCATTAACCTTGACCTATACTCAAGTGCCATGTCTACTTGCAGGCTGCAGGTTTTTGAGGGAAAAGCCACACTGGTTTTACATTCTTTGAATGTAGCAGAAAAGGGCTTTATACATACTTCATTTCCAAAGAGTCCCTCTTTCCTGTGGGGGAAGCTTTTAGTTACATTTTTATTATATAAGAAGGGTTGAGTCACGGAAAAAGTCACCTTATTGTATATTGCAATTGTGATCTAAAAATTCTACTTAGTATGCAATAGATCAGTATATGGTCTTTCTAAGTGGAGGTTTAATAAGAAACTTGTTAAACCAGAGAGAGATTCCATCTACCACAGTTGAGTCTATTGTATTATATTGTATTGACCTATTGTATAATATGATGATGAAACTTGGATTATTTTAGAATTCTAGACAAAGGAAAGAAAAAGTATATTTCCTCATACTTTAAAGAAAGGTGTTTGAATATCTGATAGTATTTTTCTATTTATAGATATAATCACAGCATTTCAGTTGTCAAAAAACATACTGACAAAAAATTTTAATAAAGTCTTACCTGTGAAGATAAAAACATTTCCCCATTGCTACTATATTCTTAAAGAGGAAATCCCAAGTTAATTTGTCTCTTGGAATCTTATTCAGTGTTAGAATTTTATTAACTTTCAAGAATAGGCATACATTAGAGTAGGTAGCCTAGCCATGTATTTCCCTAACTCAGAAAAGTAGGTTGTTACTATTAACAACTTTTGTTTGTGTACATGTAAATAATTGCTTTATTTTTCAAGTATTATGACTTTAAGTTGGTTCTCTTGTTTCCAGAGCAGTATAAAAACCTAGTGTTCTGGTTATTGTTTTTCCTCCCTGCAGTATGGCCTAATTAATTATGCACTTAGCAACTTCATTTGAAAATAGTCATTCAACACATAACTTCATAGGCTATATGATTTCACATTAAAGCAGTACTGATATGCAGCTAATCATGTTATTTTAAAACCAGTGGCCTGCCCCCAAACGGAGGGATGAGGACTACATGGTCATTTAATTTTCTTGCCATTCCATTGGCCATCTGATTAGTCTGTGTTCATAAATGAACAATTGAGAAACCATACATCACAGCTGGGATCAACATAGCACTGTCATTGGAAGAACAGATTCTCATTTTTATTCAGTTGATCTACAGCTCTAGTGAATGAGTGTAGCTCCAAAATATTCACATCTGCTGGAAACGTGATGCAGGGATCAAAACATTCCCACTGAGTCTCCCTCGCAGAGATTAGATACAAGGCTGCTTTTAATTATGTCAGCTAGAAACACAAAACACCTCTGAAGCAGAAAGTAGTTGTTAGTGATTTGTGAAAGGCTTACAGATGAAATGTTTGAACGGATTTTAAAGAAGATTCTAATACTTCTGCCAGTAGGGCTTTGGGATTGCCCCTGAGCCCTGTGGGCACGTTGGGGATTCCTTTCTCTTCTGCAGGGCCCACTTCTGTGTTCTAAGTTGCACATACCTGCTTTATGTCTTAGAGGTTCCTTTCCAAGATTATGGGGAAGAACAAAGTCTTTTCAGTGTATTTGTCAATCATTAAATAAGGACATAGGGGTTTTTTTAAATCCCTTTTTAGATTTTTAAGGTTTTTACTGCTAATCACTATAGGATAGCATTCAAGATTTGAAAAGAATAACACGAGGAAGTTGTAAATTCTCTGTTTCGTAGTACCTTATGTTATAGCTTCTCATATCCTTTCTTAGATTTTCTTCCAAAGTCCCATTGCACCTTTTTTTCTTTTTCTTCTTCCTTTTTTCTTTTATTATGTTTATGGTTGGAATTCCTCAAACCTTCTTGTAATTTCTCTTTATAATGTAGGTTGTTTATGGTGCCAAGTAATCCGTGTAAGCTAATGAGTTATTTAATTGCCCTGAATAACAAGTGGGTGTCCTACATTAGAGATACCTTACACAAAGACTAGTCACAGCACTCTCATGTTTGTGTGTATATATTTTTAATTGTGAAATTTAATTCAATTAAAATTAATTTAATTTTGTGTCCAAAAAAAAATGTATAACATAAAATTTACCATCTTGACCTTTTTTAAGTGTACTGTTCAGTATCGTCAAGTATATTTATGTTGTACAACCAAGCTTTAGAACATTTTCATCTTGCAAAACTGGAACTATTGTATATCTGCTTAACAGTTGTATTTTTCCCTTTTCATAGTTCCTGGCAGGTAGAGTCATGTCTGTCTTTTATGAGTCCCTTATTACACTTAGCATAATGTCTTCAATGTTCATCCATGTGCCAGAGTTTCCTTCCATTTGAAAGTTAAATGTTATTCCATTGTATGTATACATTGTGTTTTGTTCATACATATGCTGATGGATACTTGAGTAGCTTCTACCTTTCAGCTTTTATGAATAATAACTGCCATGAACATGGCTTTACAAGTACCTCTTCAAGACCCTGCTTTCGGATTTTTGGAAATGTATTCTGAAGTGGAATTGCTGGAACATATGATAACTCTGTTTTAATTTTTGAGGAAATGCCATACTGTTTTTCAGAGCAACTGTGCCATTTTGTAGTATTGCTACCAACAGTGCACGAGGGTTCTAATTTCTCCAAATCTTCCAACACTTGTTATTATTTTTTATTTTGATAGTAGCCTTCTAATGGCTGTGAGGTGATATCCCGTTGTGGTTTTGATTTGCATTTTCTTAATAATTAAGAAGTCCTAGGCCATGGGCTGGAGATGGTGTTGCTCAGCATGCGCACAGCCTGCTCCACCTTGGCCAGGTTGCACCCAGAGACCATGGTGCAGGGCTGGTCGTTAGTGCCCATCTTAAATTGAGTCAGACACCAGTCCACAGCCTGGATGTGCGCTTGGTCTTGATGGTAGCAATGGAGCACTGAGGTATTTTGGGACCATGTTCCCCATGTGCATCATGCAGTGGCCATGTACCTGCCATGGTGAGGGTCATGCTTGATCATCTGATTAGCTGGCTCAAAGCAGGCATTGGTGATCTTGTCCACAGAGAACTGCTCATGGTAGGCCTTCTTGGCTGAGATGACAGGGGCACTCATGGCCCGGGGCAGTGGATGCAGGGATATGGCACCAGGCTGATCTGGAATTCTGTCAAGTCCACCACATTCAAGGCCCCATCAAATCATAGGGAGGCTATGGTAGAGTATGTGATCTACCCAGTCTGGTTGAGGTTGGTGTACTTAGGATGCTTAGTATCCAGGTTGCACTGACATACGTATAGATGGTTTCGTTGTTCACCATGAAGCATAGTCAGAGTGTTCCGGGGTCGTGTGAGTGGTCAGGATGGAGTTGTAGGGTTCCATCAGGGCTATGGAAACCCACGGGGGCTGGGTAAATGGCAAATTCCAGCTTGTAGTTCTTGCCATAGTCTGCTGACAGTCCCTTCATGAGCAGAGATGTGAACCCAGAGCTGGTGCCACCCCCAAAGCTGTGGAAGATGAGAAAGCCCTGCAGTCCCATGCACAGGTCTATCAGTTTGCAGATCCAGGCCAGGACCAGGTCAATGATCTCCTTGCAGATGGTGTAATGGCCTCTGGTAAAATTATTGGCTATGTCTTCCTTCCTAGTGATCAGCTACTCTGGGTGAAGAGCTGCCTGTAGGTTCCTGTGTGCACTTCATTGACCACGGTGGGCTCCAGGTCCACTGCTCTGGGCACACGTTTGCTAGCCCCGGGCTCGCTGAAGAACGTGTTGAAGGAGTCATCTCCACCACTGATGGTTTTGTCACTTGGCATTTGACTATTGATCTTAATCCCATATTCAAGGTAGTACAGTTCCTAGCAAGCATTGGCAATCTGGACACTGCCTGCCTCACATGGATATAAGTACACTCCTGCATGATGCTCCCCCCGGATGCATGCCCCCTTCTCACCTCCTCTTAGTCCAATGCCATGTGCCCAAGTCTTTTTGTAAGCTTTGAGAATTGTTTACATAATAATATAGAATATACTATTCCAAAATAAAGTGACAGGCTTTTGTTCATGAATAATTAATAGCTATTGGAATTGTTCTGCTATAAACCATTAGAAAACTAGACAAAATATATAACACAACTGTTTAGAGACATGGGACAATACAGGCAATCCTGGGAGGAGGGAAACAAAGATTGCCTCAGCTTTCTTCCAAAATATTGATCTGCACATGTTTGGAGTAAAACAGAAGAAGACAAGGAAAAGCCTTATAGGAAAGTGGTGGTCTGAAAAAATACCAAGACTCATTTCTGGCCTGGGAAGAGACCATGTTCCTGTCTGCTGGGAGGTTCACATCTCAATAGTGGAGATAAATGAACCCCATAGTAAAGACTGCACTGATGCCCTAGGTATTAATAATTTGGGGTATGGGAGTGGGAAATATAGTCATTTCAACAAATGGTTCTGAAACAACTGGATATTCATTTAAAAGGGGGGAAAAACTTGACTCTTACTTTATTTCATATCAATTCAAAATGGATTATGCACCTCAATGTTAGGGTTAAATCTATATTACTTCTAAAATAAAACATAGGAGAAATGAATATCACTGTGTATTTTTGGTTAGTTGGGGTTTTTTTAATGTAAAAATCATGAACTATAAGAGAAAAAATTGGTAAACTAATCTTTAATATAATAATTAAATGCTTTTGGCCTTTTTAGAAGGTATTATCAAGAATATGAAATAAAGGTACATACTTGAGGAAATGTTTGTAAGACATACCTGATAAAAGGACTAATTCACCCTATGTAAGCTCTTATAATTTAATAAAAATATAAACAGCACAATTAAAAAGTGGGAAAATTAGTTTGCCAAAGATATGGTCAGTAAGCACATTGGTGCTTGTAGTAGG